GTGGAGAAAAAATGGAAAATAAACTCATGAACACGTAATAGCATTTAAAAAAATTGTTTTTTTGTTTTGTATTTTTTTAAAATAGAAATAAAAATATATAAGCATATTAAAATTGTTTTTTTTTAAAAAATAATATAAAATGTCGGGAAGTGCCTTACGTGCAATAGTCGTTTAAATGTTCTGAAAATCTCACCCTTCTTCCAGAACGCGTCGTTTTAAGTTTATTTTCGGATACTGTCAAAGTATCATCGTGTGTGTTGGTTGTCGGATGAGGTATTATAAGTGTCGGAGTCGTGTCGTTCGATTGTACCGAAGGAAAATCCACGTAGATAGGATTTCCTCGTAAATACGCTGCTTTTAAGCGATCGATGCTGATGCTATCGTTCGTTCCGTTCTTATCGACTATATAGTACTTAGATTCACGTTGAAGAACTTTGAAGGGTCCTTCGTATGCTGATTCGAATGGTCGTCGATGCGAGTCTCGACGAACGAAAACGTGTGTACTATATCGTAAGTCAGGTTGAACGAAAACACCAGTTGATTGAGGTCGAGTGGAAGCAGGTTTAACTGAACGCATTGCGTTTGTAAGCCTGTTCGTGTAGGAGGTTAGATCCATGTTCATTGAAGAGGATGAAGGATCAACGAATTCTCCTGGAAGTCGAAGTGTCGTTCCATAAACGAGTTGAGCCGCAGTGTATCCAATGTCAGCTTTCACTGCATTGCGGGTACCTAGTAAGACGAGTGGAAGAGCGTCGGTCCACTGTGAAACGTTTGCAGCTGATAGCGAAGCTTTCAGTTGTCGGTGAAAACGCTCTACCAACCCGTTTGCTTGTGGATGGTAGGCGGTCGTTCGGAAGCGAGTGGTTCCTAAAAGTGTGGTCAGACGACGGAAAAGATCAGATTCAAACTGACGTCCGCGGTCTGTAGTGATGGTTGAAGGGCAGCCGAAGTTTGCTACCCATCGTTCGACGAATGTGCGGGCCACTGTTTCAGCAGTGATGTCCTTGATAGGTACTGCTTCTGGCCATCGAGTGAAACGGTCTACGCAGGTTAAGAGATAAGAGTATCCATTTGAATCTGGCAAAGGTCCCACCAAATCCAGATGAACATGGTCGAAACGAGCATCGGGAGTTTTAAATGGGCCTAAGGGACATTTATTGTGTCTGATAACCTTAGATTTTTGGCAGCTTATACAAGAGCGTGCCCACTCCCTCACGTCTTTATTCATTCCAGGCCAGCGAAACCGTCCTGCTATAAGCTTGATGGTTGCACGAACACCTGGATGCGAAAGTTTGTGCAATGTGTTGAAGACATTGCGTCGATAATGTTTCGGCACGATCGGGCGATCCCTACCTGTAGATGTGTCACAAAGTAAGGTTTCCTTACCTGTTCCCATCTGTTTGATGCGTAGTTTAAGTGTTGTGGACGATAACTCATGCTGAAGATCAGTGTCTTCTTTTTGAAGCTCGGCGAGTTTAAGAAGGTCGATTCCTTGGAAACTGTTCAAGGAAGTTATGCGAGATAAAGCGTCTGCAACTACATTGTTTGCTCCAGAGATGTGTTGAATGTCTGAAGTAAACTGCGAAATGTAGTCCAGGTGTCGAGACTCACGGGGAGAGTACTTGTCAGAAGGAGAGCTTAACGAGAAAGTGAGCGGTTTATGGTCCGTGAAAAGAGTGAATTCACGACCTTCGATGTAGTGTTGGAAATGCCGTACAGCACAATACATAGCTAGGAGTTCCCTACCGAATGTGCTGTACCTCGATTCGGTGTCTAGCAACCTTCTAGAGAAAAATGCCAAGGGTTGCCAGGAGTTGTTAACCCATTGTTGTAAGACGCCTCCGATTGCCGAGTCCGATGCGTCTACTGCGATACTAATGGGTGCTTCGGTGTCCTGATGTGCGAGCATTGTTGCTTTAGCGATCAGTTCCTTAACTGTGGAGAATGCTTTCCGTGCGGTGTCGTCCAAATTAATTGATTTCGCATTTCCACGAAGTTGGTCGGTCAGAGGTTTCATAAGTAATGCGCATTTGGGAATGAAACGTCTATAGAAACTTACCAGGCCGTTGAACGTGCGTAATTGCTTAACGGTGGTCGGTTCTGGGTAATCCAGAATGGCCGCCACTTTGGTTCTAAGGGGTCGGATACCTTGAGCATCGATAGTGTGTCCCAGAAAGTCTAATGAGTCGGTTCCGAATTGGCATTTCTGAACGTTTACAGTTATGCCATGTTTTTGTAGTCGTTCGAAAACAAGATCCAGATGCTTGAGATGTGTTCCTCTGTCCGGACTTGCGATTAGACAGTCGTCAAAATACGTGTGTACGAAGTTGAGACCTCGAAAAACGTCGTCTATGAATCTTTGGAATGTTTGAGCAGCATTCCTTAGACCGAAAGGCATTCGCAGAAATTCATAGAGTCCGAAAGGAGTTATGATAGCTGTTTTCGGTATGTCGTCAGTAGCCATAGGGATTTGGTTATACGCTTTAATCAAGTCGATTTTCGAAAAGACAGTTGTACCTTTCAAGGTAGCTGTCAAATCGTGAATGTGAGGCAACGGGTAACGATCGGGAATGGTTTTCGCGTTCAATCGCCGATAGTCACCAGTTGGACGCCAATCGTTGCTGTCCTTTTTAGGGACCATGTGCAATGGAGATGCATATGGGCTACTTGACGGTCGTATGATTCCTAAGTCCATCATGTGATCGAATTCGTTTTTCGCTAACCTTAGCTTTTCAGGAGCTAGTCGTCGTGCTTTAGAAAATACAGGTGGTCCTGTAGTCGTGATGTGATGTGTAACGTTGCTGGTTACACACGGTAATCTCGGTTGCGTTTGTTGTATCCCAGGATACTTATCGAGAAGTGGCTGATAGAGTGGGTCTATCATATGTTTAATTGTGACGGGATAATTTGCAACCAGTAAAAGAAGTTACGCAAACAGATAAATTAGTGTTTCCGTCTACTAGCCTCCGTTTGCGCGTGTCGATGATCAGATTATGGTGTTGTAGAAGATCCATACCAATGATTGGCATAGAAACATCAGCAACAACGAAGATCCAGTGAATGGGTTTGCGTAAACCCACGTTAAGGTAAACGTACCTTTTGCCATACGTAGCGATCGGTTTTCTGTTTGCCACCTGTAAGTTTAGAGTCGATTCGCGAAGTCGGTCGTTAGGATTTGCTGGGAGAACGCTAACTTCTGCGCCAGTGTCGACGAGGTAGCGAACTCTCGTTGTCACATCTGTGACGAATAACAGACGGCTATGTTCGCCGGCTACGGTTGCCGTTAACGCGTGCCGGCTTGGAAGTTTCCCGAGTTGTTTTTCGAGTCACTCGGTTTCGTGTTGGGAAAATTGCAGGGTTTTCTGCAATTTCTGGAAAACTTTCCATACTGGTTATGATACCAGCACCAGTCGGGGTTATCTGTCTCTTGTGGCCTAGAGACAGATCGCTTACGAGAAATGCTTCTACGTGGTGTGCGCGATCTCTTACGGTCGGTACGAAGACTAAGATAACGCGTGAGTGTGTGACATAAGTCGTTTATATCATTCTGAGTCGTTTGAGGTTTTTCTTTGACTGAAAATACCTTGGTAGTAGATTTCGTAATTTCTAAAATGCGGTCGGCAGATGCAGCTAGCTCGTCTAAGGCGTTGTTCTGGAACGAGACCAGAACTGCTTGCACCTGTTGGGGAAGTTTTGACAAGAAGAGTTGTTTGAATAGACCTTCGTCGAAAGTTCTTGGACCTATTACCTCTCTCATCCGTTGCAACATGTCTGTCGCAGAACCGTGTTGCAGGTCGATATTGTTGAAGAGTTGATCTAACCTTTGTCGATCGGTTAGGTCTCCTCGTTTAAGAATCGAGCGTTTTAAGATTTCGTAAGGATCGGAAACATCACTAGTAAACATACTTGGTGTTACGTACCTGTTGAATTCGCGCGGTAGTGCCTTGACTACTGCGAGGAATTGTGCACGTGTGTCGATCACGCCGTGCTCGTGGAAGTCGGCTTCTGCGTAGCAGAACCAGGCTTCGATGTTGTCGGGCCAGAAAGGCATCAGTTGAAACGAAGGTGGGGACAAAGTCTTAAGCTTGAGTACTTTAGGTGTCTGTTCAGTCATGATGAAGTATGAATTATGATAATAACGAGGGGAAAAAATATATATATCCAAGAAAAAACACGAAAAAAAATCACAATGTTTTTAAAAAAAATAAGAAATAAGGCAATGATATATAAAAATCCCAAAAAGGAACAGACTCACAGTTGCAAATAGGTGTACCAGATCACGTCGGTCTCACCAATGATGATGTCACAGGTATTCAGTGTTTGACAGCGCTTCTACCAGTAACACCTTCTAATATATTTCGTTCCCACCCAGAGAAATCAAAAGACAGAGTCGAGGAGATCGGAAGAGTGTATTTGGCGATGACCAATATATCGGAATTCTCTGATCTAATCTGGCTAGCGATTGTGGTTGATGTTGAGCACGGCGTTACCACACGTGATCTGGTGCGGATGCCTGACCGAGCGCCTTCAGCTAGGTGAGTCCACTAAAACATATGGTCAGCATCCAATGTCGAAAACTTAGTGCTATTTATTTTGGGGATTTATTTACCGCTACACACCTTTCCCGTCAGTGCATACAGATCCCCCCACACATTCACTGGATAGCGTGACCATTAAAGAACTCGATGTCTTTGGTCTACTAAACAAGCTTGACATAGGTAAATCCACGGGGCCCGATGAATTACATCCTAGGCTGCTGAAGAAATTATCTAACTTCGTTGCGAACCTTTTAAGTATATGCTCTAACCTATTGTAACGCAGAATCGTTTGCAAAAACGCCATAGAAAGTCCTGTCTTCAAAACAGGTACGAAACACAAACCTGAGAATTACCGGCCCGTTAGCCTAACTAGTGTGGTTGCTAAAATCTTAGAAAAGATTATTCGGAAGGAGCTGTTTAAGTACCTCGATGAAAACCGGATCCTTTCGGAGAAGCAGCACGGTTTCAGAATACGTTACTCTTGTCTCACTAACTTATTAGTGACTCGTGAAAGCTGGTGCGCTCTCAAGGACCAAAAGATACCTGTAGCTGTAGCCTATATTGATTTCAGCAATGCTTTTGACAAGGTTCCGCACAACCGGCTGTTATATAAGTTAGGAAATGTCGGGATTGCTCTCATTATTGAATGTAACTGCATTCTATGTGGTTAATGTTAAAGTGAGCCATGTTTCACTTTCTCTCTTGTTATTTTCTCCCAAAACCTCTCATAATACTACCCGGTACACAAGTATCTTCAGGCTAAGTGCTGACCTACCGAAGGTTGAACGTTACAGCGAAATCTGAAGTGCAGAGATATATTCCTAACTTGTATGTTATTGCTAAATGAAAACTGATTCCTAAAGTGTTCGTAGTCAACAAAAATATCGATCCGTCTAGAACCGATCATTTGAGAGGACATTCGAAGAAAGTTCAAAGACCGAAATCAAACCGTTTACGTCTGGAGTTCCGTTTCTCGCACCGAGTAGTGAATTACTGGAGTTCTCTACCGGAACACGTAATATCAGCACGCCTGTTAATATATTCAAAACGAGGTTGGACCTCCACAGTATCACAAACTGCAAGGATTAATATAGGTCAATAGACCTCCTATCCTTATTACTGAGAACTGAAGACTGAAAAATGTGAATTTGAACGGTACATATATGTTTAGCGTATACGCTAAATTACTAAACGTACCTGCTGTTAAGGTAGATTGAGTCTTTAGGTACTTCATGCCTAAGCAAACCAAAGAAACTTTTGTTGCGTGCCGTGTGGAAATAGTGCTACATTTCCCCTTTTTGTCGCCATAGGCAGTGACATGTCATTGATTTTACTTTGAATTATCGACTTTCCCCCTAAATTTACACAGAACTGTCTGCTTCTCGCCTAAATACGCTAAAAACTGCAGCCTACCTCCTAATACCTAATCCTAACATTCTATCCTGTATTATAAAAGTCTGTAAACAGCTTTAGGTTACTTTTGATGGAGTTTTGTTCTCTTAGCTGGATGGTTTGATCGTGGAGCTTTCATCGTTCTTCTGAACGACATCACCAGCACAAACTCCTAGCTATAGGTTACATTTAACAGCTTAGTAGCCATATATAAGTTGATTCGTATCTGAAAGAAATTTAATCAACAGTCACGTAAAGTGGCTATCGGCTTTTCGTTAATTAACGAGATGATTAATCATTGGAATTCAAAACCAACTTTATTTCACTTTCAGGAACCAAGGACTCAATATCGCTGAACGTTCAGTAAGAATACATAAGTCTGTTTGAATGCCTCAATTCAATTTGTGGTTACAGTAGTCGAGTGTTTGGATTCATTAGGGTAAACTCAGTCAGAAAACCGGAGTTGTTTTTCTGTGTCATGACCCAAGAGTATAAAATTCAGTCGGCGTACGGTAAAATGTCATAACATAGTGGATGTCAACCACTCATTATATTTAGTTTTTATGCCTATGGGGACTCAAAATTACTGTATAATCCTGGTGGGTGGACCCAAGATGTAACTCTCAAGTTTCTGTTTTAGTGAAACTCCAAAGTTTCTAAAGTATCTTTCCTTTTTGTCATTGCTATCCGGCTACCCGTTTTGCTAAATGCTTACCGTGTATTTTAACTTATATTTCTGTTTCTGCTACGTATATATAAAACTTCTTATTCGAATAGTTAACTGGACGCTTTGGTATGAACAAAAATTTGTAAATAACACAACTACCGATGATAAAGTCAATATAATTACTCTTTCTTGCTGTTTCAATTCACCCTGTAACGGATTGTGAAATAACCTATATTTCAAGCCCATTACTTTCATGTCAGAAACTATTGCCTGGGTACACTATTCCTAGGGACTATGTTCCTGATCTGAAGATATCCTACAGTGGTGCAATGTTCAAAGATTAAGCACAATATTCAGGTCTTAGTCGATTGAAAAATGAGTGACCTAAAAGCCTATGACATTTTATTATTTTCATTTTATGTCCATAAATAGACAGTTCATCATAATTGTGTGTGGGCTGTGATACTGCCCGGGTGCCCAGACCGAAGCAGGTGGTTTTCTTAGGGGGCCACACCCCGAGCCTTTGACCTTAAGGTTCGACCCACAAGGCAGTGGAGCATCGTGAGGAGATGCAGTCCCATGGTAGCTGGTGACCAGCGATTGGTTCATACGCCATTTGTTCCCGCAGGATACTGGAGCCCATGTGCAACATTAGTTTGAGATCCGGCTAAAGCGCCGGATATTCGCTTTTTGTCCTCTCATTTTCGTAAACAACACCCCCGCCACGAGAAGGCGGTGAGTAGGACTTCCCTGACAGATGCTGTATAGGCGTGACCGTGTGAGAGCATTTCGAGAGGGAGGGCGAGCCCACCCCACTCTCGGCCATACCAGGACATTTTGGGGCGCATATGTATTTGGTACCCTCTTGTACCAATATTTATGTGTTCAAATAAATAAATAAATAATTTTATGTCCATATTCTATTTATTAGCATGTTATTTTATTATATGAGAAAAATTCATCTGGCTAGTGGTCTTTTTTTATTTCTAATCATTCGGGGGCCTAAGCCAATTATGCAGTCTTGTGAGCAGCCGTCACCCGGTCACACTATATCATTGCATTCATCTGTCAACTACTTTGCTATTCATCGATTTTGACAGTCAGGGTTTTGTCTAATCAAAACAGGAAATCTTCACAACTGTAGTCCTCACAACGACCTTGTTTTTCACTAAATTATTTACCAAGTAGAGGTCCGCGTACTCTGTTTTAATTCAGATTCTAATTATGGAAGCTAATGATACTACCCAGTTGTCTAACCTAGAGTAGGTGGCGTGGGGCTGTAGCATGTGACTTAATAACTAATGTATCGCTCCACCTAAGGTAACCTATCATGCAAACATTTTCATTGCTATTCGATGTCATAAAATTTTTGTGGTTTGTCACGTATAACCAGTCATTTACCATTATGTTTCAGCACTTATGTTTTCTCTTAAATCAATAAGATTGGCTTATGCTTTCACTAGCTGTCGTCATTCATATCATAGTATGCTTCCAACTAGTTCGAAGAAACGACGTACGTGGGTCACTTATTCCTTGTTGGTATGTTATTACTGTTTACAAGATAATGATTTGTTTTTTGTGTAGTTAAGGATTTGTATGCTCATATTTTCTCAGCTTTTATTCGTAAATATATCAATAAACATCTGAAATATGTATATTTGTATGTAAATGGAAACGACTGGCAAACAGTCTGATCGATCAAGATTCTGTATTTCTTCACAAACAAAGATATTTTCTCTTGTCTGATACACAGATCATGACCGAGCACTTAGGTGCATCAACCTATTTAGGTCTTTTTGGAGTTATAATTCTCTTGCTTTGTTGACTGATAAAATTTCAGTGCTGCTGCGAAACGTTCGTTCAACTTAGGGCTGTGTAACATGGCTTAAGAAGTTAGGTTAGAAAATGACCGAGGAAACTCAAATCGAGATAGTGCGTCTGTTCATAAAATCACTGGTTGTTATACTATGTTAAGAAGAGCAGTTCACTCTTACTCGTTTTGGTCTGAGTCAGCAAAATAATTCTTGAGAGCTATATTTAACATTTTAGTACTGATGAGTAACTGTCCAGCCATTAGTTATTTGCTTTTTAGAGAGGATAAGTTGAGCAAATCAGTCCACGCACCTGATTCTGGAAGTGAAAGTATTCAACCCCAATAATCATATTTAAGTCTATTTTCTGAGTTTACCTTACATGCATTTCGTCATCGTTCCTGGTGCTTCTCGGTCAATTGTATCTAGTTAAACCTAGTATTGTACTTAGTTGCGTAGCCCAAATAATTTTGAGATGACCGGAAGTTAAGCCATTAAATCAAAAATCCATGCTTGACTCTTGACCATCAAACCATGTATTAACACCCATTACGTGATTCGATCAAGACAATCAGACAATGTTATTGACTCTCACTACAAAAATTTGCCTCATAGCTGGACAACTAATTCTACATGTGATCACTAAATTCTTTACTGTATTACTCACAAAAACTATGCATCTTTTAGTAGTCCTGTATATATGTAACCTTACAAGAAGTGTTGTGTTCTCTTTCCTGTAAATTGTTGTATACGAAAGGTGTGTATGCTAGATTTTACAAAGTCCCATTATATATTTGTGATTTTTTGACAATTTGTTTCAGGTCCTTCCAGCTACTGCATTCGCTTTAGGATATTGGCAGATACATAGAAGAAGGTGGAAAATTGATTTGATTGGAAAACTAAACGCAAGGATTCCTGCTAAGCCTATTCAATTGCCTAAGAAGTTTGTTTTTCTCTTTTAAATGTAATCATATTTTCGCAATTTTAGTGTTGACTCTAGCATTCAGCTTCCTGAGTTCACTCATATCTCGGTTCGAGGTTGTTTCGATCATTCACGAGAAGTAGTAATTGGACCACGCTCATTGATTGAAGATTTTATACCTTCTAAAGGCTATGGAAGCGAATGGGTAGTGAGATCACCAAACAAGTATACGCAGGCGAATATGGCTCGTCCATCTGCTTCTGGTTATTTTATCGTAACACCATTTTTCTTAGAAGATAGACCTGGGTAAAAAAATGAACTTTTGGGGAATCGATTCCCTATCTTTCTGATTAGTTAATTAACATCTGTTTTAGAACCTCCATATTAGTAAACCGTGGATGGGTCCCATATGGTGCACGTGATCCTACCATTCGACCTAATGGTCAGGTAATTAATGATTAGTCTAAGAATTTATTTCTTCATGGCAGTTTACTAACAAAGTGTAATTCAGTTTGCTACTTTTTCCCTGCCTTTCTGTTAACCCAACGTAACAGATTTATTGACCTTCATCAGTTTTATTCTAATTTCAGGTTAGACTAATTTTCAAAAGCTTTTCACTTTATATACACTGAGTGAATTCGTGGTTTGTCGATCTAGAGTCTCATTTTTCAATATTATAATGGCTCAATCATTTTTACTAAAATACTGAAATAATTTAGATGGTTAGTTTGTCAATTTACTCACGACATTGATCCTCAACTCCCAATCAGGTAGATTAAAAAACTATTTACTGAATGAGTAACCATGCGAATTGATGTACAAGTTAATTAAAACTAACATCCATGTACATAGTACTTGATCAAAGTAGTATGCCCATAAGCTCTGTCATTTCTCAATTAAATGATAAATTCTGAAAATAAAGGTCACTAAACAATCAATGTCCCTTCACTTTAGCCTGCCTTGACAGTCAGTCAGCTACAACGTAGGACCAGGCACATATATGCATCGGTCCAAGTTGCCATACCTCATTAACACAACAAGATGAACACCGGATTCATAAAAGTAGTTAATTCAGAAGTGGTAATATATAAAAGAAAGATTGCAATAAGGATATAGTACAGGAAGAAAGAATTAGTTCGTAGAAAGAAAGATATGAAGCGATTTTAATCTCTTGGTTTAAAGGAAGACAGAGGGTGTATACACCGACGTCATTATGATGGATTCTGAGCCATGTCACTAAGAGTCTACAACCATTGGTTACGATAGTCACGCGGACCCCAACCAAGTAGTCTGCATCTACCAACATGGCTCAGACTAGAAGTTAGTGACTTCAAGCACTGATGCCAGCCTGCTTTGACGGATTGCGTTATAATATGGTGGAGAGTTGAGTTTTTGGTAGTCATCATTTTTCATCGCGTCATGAATATTTATAGTTTTAGGATCATTTCCTCCAATAATTGACGCCAATTATTAAATTATTACAAAGCATAGAAATATTTCGCCCTAATTTAAAACTCTTCAGCATTGTGCACCCATAATCCCTTAAAGTTTTATCAAACCTTGAAACAATAGTCGTATCCTTAACAGTGATTAGCCCCCAAATAGTTTCTGAATGAGTTAATAATTAAGTAGGAGCTAATAAGCTAACCACGTCTGGTATACGACATTGAATGAATATCAAGTATGGGGTTGTGAAGATTGAGATGGTAGAGATTATTAGGTTTTTCATTGAGATCATAAGCCGATCGGTGTTAGACCACTATTGAAAATCTGGAAGCACTGAATGGCAGCGCTCATCCACACGGGATTCGAACCAAGGGCCCTCGTCGTGACCAGTGGAGCTAATTCGTGTTGGGTAGATACAGGTATCTACCTTAGAATATTGAAAGATGGTCGCGCAATTTCGTGGATTGGTTGGGGTTAGGCGTTAACACCGTTGGATGCCGGCTCAGTGGTTTGGAGGTTAAGCGTTCGCGCGCGAGGCAGAAGGCTCTGGGTTTGAATCCCGTGAGCGGGATCGTGGATGCGCACTGTTGAGGAGTCCCAAAATAGGACGAAACGGCCGTCCAATACTTCTATGTTTTTAATGGTGGTCTAACATCAATCGGTTCATGATCCCAATTGAATAAACATCATATATTACATGCTATTGACTGCGATTCGAGATATAACACTGGATTTTCATTAAGCGATATCATACCCGACTTAATTTCTATAGGTTTTTTGGTTTGATCCTGCTTGAGTTCATTAGTATGCGTTCCTAATGAGTTCAAAAAAGTAGGATTTGTTAGCTAAACAGTACCCATTAAATCTATATTTAGTTTTCCTACAGACAATTACTTTTCCTACTGTCTAGCGTTATTTAGTTGAAAATAAACTAGTCAGTATATCACGATTTGGGACGTGATCAGAACACGGGACAGTTAAGAATATGTCCTATTAACACTCACTGTTTCTTTATCTATTATCCTCACTTCGTAAGGTATGTTGCTTTTATTTACTGTTATGTTCAGAACTCTGTATCATAAGCTAAAGTACATTCATTGAAAAGAAAATTCATTATTTACTTATTGTGATACATATGTATTTTTTCATAAATTTTAGGTAAAGGGTGTCGTAGAACTGTCAGGTTATATACGGTATCAAGAAAAGGTAATTTTACTATATATATAATATGTAGGCCCATCAACTGCTGTTTTAAACTCCATGATATTATCTGACAGACTTAAATTACTGTATCAAACGCTCAAAAGTTTATTCCCTGTTTTTTTTTGTTTCACTTAATAACTTTTAATTTGCGAACATCAGTAACATTTCAACTATTAGGTTCATTTATATAATGTACACACCTAATAAGATCTCTTTTATAATTGTTTAGTATTATGGGATATTAGTCAGTGTTAATGTTCTCTACTATTTAGTGCTGATCAGATTTTGATCAACTAATTTTTAATATGGGTACTGGCCTGTTGTACTTGTTAGCGCACTCCAATTTGCCTAATAGTTGTAAAAGAAGTTGGGAAAAAGCTTCGTGACTCAATTACGTCAATTTTTTGTTTTGTTTTAATAACCTAATACTTTTCTTAGGCACCAATTCGTATATTCGGTTCAAAGATTCAACCTCTTACTTGTCTGGATTATGAAAATCAAAATCCACATATTCGTTATTCTTGTCGACAAATCGATCAAATGTCTAATGATTTGAAAACGTTACCGATTTTCCTTGATGCTGATTATGGTAAGTGATGAACGGTAATTTTGTTTTCCTTTTATAAAATGTAAATTCATCCTAATGATTTTTTATTTATTTAAAAATAATGAAATATTAGGGATAAACATTTTCTAAGTTTCAGATTTTTATTTTCCATACAGTTTTCATTTCCTTCTATAAATATCAGTAAGGCTAGAACATGGTTTAGATCAGGAACCGATCTAGATAATCACTCAAAATCGAGCAGTATTGGATAAAAATCCCATAACATAATGTTCTAAATTTATTTCGTCGATTTTTCCCATTTATATATTTCCTATCCCATTTATGGGAAGGTATTAATTAAGTTAGGAAACCACTCTGAGATAGACTAATAAGAGAAAAATGGTAATAAATTTGAGATAACTATAAAAATCGTACTTACAGTTAATTATTTTGAAGGTTAACGATATGATTATATCATAAGAGAGAACTGGAAAGTGTGTAGTGACAAGTTTCTAGGAATCGGAAATGAATGTCGTTAGTTACATAATCCCAACTGCCAAAAGACAGCTGGTTGAGAAAGTAAAATGTGTAAAACCTAGGATCTATTTGAACTGTTACTGTGATCAGCAGACAAATATGCTAAACGGTTAATTGACCATCAGTATTGTTAGTGGTGAGACAAAAATTGTAGACGAATCAATCAGATTTAGGATAACAGGTCTTGGATTTTTGTGCGAAATTCACTCACCCATTTGGCCAAATAGCGTTTTGGGATTTTAGCTGATGTCAGTTCGTGATGAAAAACCGTGGATCTAATTTCTAAGCCTAACCATCAACTGTAAATCATAATGCTTAATCTTCAAACTGCATTATAACCATTTAGTCCTAGTAAGTAGGTTGACACTTTCAAGGTCACTTTGGCGCCGCTCAAAGGTCGTTCACCGTCTGTGCTTTTTAAAACTTGTTTTATGCAACATTGACATAGTTTATTTCGTCACTTTACTAGGCTATTATTAATATTATTATTATTATCATTATTATTATTAAAAATAATTCATCGCAAACGATGACAAAAGTCGACATTCTATGTTGGTCGAGTAATATACAAACTCAGAGGCCTCGAAAAAAACCTAGAATTTCTGCTTCTGATCATTTATAGGATCCTGAACTCAAATTAATAGAATCCAAAATAAGGACAAATTATTTATCTACTAGGTCTTGCTTTCCAATTGTTCTTTAATTGATATCAATCCATCATGAATGGTAGCTTCCAATTTGAATTAATGCTTACGAACTCTGTGTTTACTGACAATAAAAATCATAAATGTGTAAAAATGAGTTTTGTTTAATGCAACCTCTATCGTTTATTCACTGTTAATCGTACTCATTTTGATCATTAGACTAATGCATAATGTCCAAAGTGTTTTCAACCATAGTATCAACTTTATAAGCAAATGTTGAGAGTAAAGAAGTGACTGATATTCGTAAAAATTAGTTTATTAATACAATTCCACTTAAACAAACAAAGACATAAGGTTAGAATGGTTCACTAGCCTCACTTGGTATATATATCTTACTGTATTTTACAAAGACAATATAACAATTTCCATACATAGTTGTGTAAAATAACTGAAAATATTGATAATAAAATTTTCCTTCTATTCAAAACGAAAGATTGGAATAGTTTTTTATATTCATATACTTTTTAGAGTCTAGTACTGTTGGTGGGCCAATCGGTGGACAAACTCGAGTTGTTTTACGAAATGAACATGCATCGTATATTTTCACTTGGTAAGCTCCAATGTGATTTTCTTTTCTAATATTGTATTTTTGGAATGTTTTATTACTACATCGTGTTGCCTTTTTATCAAGTATAGTTTGTGTTACTCGACTTTGAACCATATTATTTGCATAAGAGCTGTCTAGAATGAAGTAAGCAGAATGGGGTTTAGATTCATGGTCTGTTAATTGAGAGCTGAGTAGTTTAACCACTATGTCGCCCCTCTAATCATTATATTCAGTTAGTCAATTTGTCATAAACAACACAGGATCTAATTCAAATGCGAATCAATCTAGGTTTCCACACTTTATGCTATGCGACTAAGGGATTTTTCCTCATTCCGAAACAATCAGTGATGATGTGATTTATAGAAATAAATATCGTGTTAAATATTTTGCGTTCATCGTTTATTCCACTATGAAAAACTACAAATTAAGCTTCTCCATACTGCTCAACGAACTTATAAACAAAATAATTTATACACCGGAAGTAAGATGACACATTCGTATGGTGTACGTAGTCGATCTTGACTTCGAGATAGCATCTTACAAGCAGGTATCAGAGTTGACAGTCTCCACGACTATCAACTTTGATATGTGTATTTACAGGATGCCAATCAATGATTAGACTCAGATGTAATTGGAAAATTTAATTCAGTTCATGATTATACACCTAATTAAATGTGATAATGAAAATAATAGTAGCGTTATTTTAAAGACTTTTCCTACAAATTTCGTGCCATTTTGCAGGCTTTTATAAGTTCAGTTTGTTCTTTTTTATAGTTTTGATTGGTGGTATGCTCTTTACAAGAGTGTATTTCGGCCGATGAAGTATTTACAGTTTAGAGAACTTCTACAACAAAGAGTTGGTACTAACCGTTCGTTTACATGAGCTGTCGTAGGCCAGAGACTATTTGACCTTTGAAGATATGAAAAGTTGCTAGCCTGTAGGGTCTTAGGCCGTGTAAAAACGTATACTAAATTCTGAAACAGCTGTTTGCCATTTTCTGTGTTATTACAGTATAATACTTAATTTATGATGATGCTGTATATGTGTAATTTCAGACATTAAGAGAGCCGATTATACTTCGGTTTGATCATGACTTCAATTATCACTAAAAATTTACTGTATCATGCGAAGTGGCTTAATAGTAAAATTAAACTAGGAATAATGGATTGATCTAGTAACTTTCTCTTCAATAATTTCTTGATTTTCATTCACCTATTCACCTGCAAACATATCTCCATATTTCATCCATTAATAGGAAGAACCTCTTCTTTTCTAGGTTCTCATTGGGCACCATCGGTCTGGGAATGTGGATATACTTTTTCATTTTTTAACTGGACAAATAAAAGAAAAAAAGAATTATTTTGTACATACAAATATAGTTTAGATATCCAGACAAGACAATCCTCTCGTCTGCTTATCCCTTGTATTTATGGTTATTTAATTCGTTGTCTACAGCAATATCTCGGACAGTATATGTGTAAATGCGCTAATTAAAAGTGTCACTCATCCACGTACCTCCAACATAACTCAATAAGACCCTGATCATCACGAAATCTTATTTCTAGTATTCTTCTTGTCAATCTTCTGTTTTCATCTTTTCCGATGTATGCCACTGCTGTCCGAGATTGTGAAGTGTTCTCCCGATTGCACATACCTAAGCACGGTGAAATTGATATGACGAGATACTACGGGCTGAGTAAATAAAAAACTAAAGTAATTAACAAAATATGACACAGTAACAAAAACAGGATAGAAACAAGTAATTGTCTTATCTCAATCAAGAATAGGAAGTGCGCTTGATTGTGGAGATAAGATTTCAGGTTAGAAGACCGATAGCCTGTATTAGTCGTTTACTAGTCAGCTTCTGAGTCTAGTCTTTCCTTGAATGAGTCAGTCAAATGAGTGGACACCACTTCTTCCAGTAACAGGTTCCAAGAATTAATGACTCGGTGTGAGAACCTGAATGTCACGGGTATTTTGTTCGTTGTTGGCTATAGCACTCGCCTGCTATGTTCTCTGAGTTGTCCTGACCTGGTAGGAAGAGGAGAGAATATGTCAGGTTCATAATCACATCCAAGTATTCTATGCATCAAAATCAGATAGCCCCTTAGTTTGCGGTAGAACGGAGTAAATATGTCTAACTTGTCGTGCCGTTCTGTGTATAATAAATCCTGGAATTGCATGATTAGCTGCTTCCTCAATTTCTCCCAAGATATCGGAGCCACTTTTTAAACAGAACTTGCAGCCTGGACTCAGTTTTCAAGTTTGTGTACATTGTATTGGAACTATTAGTGTCTAACTTGGTTATTGTCCGTCTCCAAGCCCATATGGTTCCGAACTTCTCACCTACAGCCGTACGGCAGTGGTCCATTGTCTTAAGATGATAACTCACTGTTACCCCAAGATCGTTTTGAGGTCGGAATACAGGTCCTGACTCTTCCTCTATGCTCCACCTACTTACTTTTGTGTTCCTTATGTTCACGTAGATGCATGTAGCCACGCCCATAAGTATCAGTCATTTTTTAGCCCAGCTAATTAAAACATCTAGTTCCCCCTTCAGTACTCACGCATCTGTGTCTCCTGTTATCTCCAACTTTCTGCGTCAGCGTCAAGTAGCATCGAGGGTTAAATCATACTTGGGAGTTCACTTCTCATACAGTATAAATAGTAGAGAACTCAGGGCAGTTTTGCGGTACTTCACCAAGTGCTGGTTTATAGGAAGAATACTTGAAAAAGGTCTTTACTTTCTGTCCACGAACTAGCAAGAAATCCTTTATTAACTTTGAGATAGGCCTGGGGATTCTTAGACTTTCCAGTTTTAAGAGGAGTCTGCCACTGGGCATCTTATCAAATGCTTCACTGAAGTATATGTGGATAACAATCACTGATTCTCCACTATCTAGCAACCGTCCATTTCTCTCTCGGTATTAGGTTTTTTGTGCAAGATAGTCCTTTTCTGAAACCATTTTTGCTGTCTAAAAATTTGTTAGTTCTCACGAACGTTATTATGGTTTTTTGGTGATTCTTTGTAGTATTTTGTCCACGATATTGGTGAGGTTGATAATTCGTTGAATTTATGGGAGTTTTCTTGGTCGTGTTTTGTAAATAGGAATGACAAGTGTACCCTTCTAAGTCATAGTCAGCTCACCTTGGTCAAGTGACATATTGAATATCGTAGTCAGTGAGATAGCAATATAGCGTCTAATTTTCCTCAAGATTTCAGGGTGTAGTGCATCTGGCTCTGTTAAGTTTTCCATATGTAGTGTTAGGGCCTTTTGTACATCGTTCCGGTCAAAGTCACTTATTTCAATCCGACCTGTAACGTTCCATCGTATTTACTATGCTAGTGCTGACAGTGACGGCCAGGATATAAATGACTGAGTTAGTAGGTTGTTTAACTGCCGGAAATGAGTTCATGCCTCACCTACTGACGTGCCGGGGTCAACGTGCCAGTTTTCAGCCGAGGCTGAAGAGTTGATCGCTTTCATGTCTGCCTACTATATGTTATGACGTGCCGGTGCAACTGCTTGATAGACCATATCAGCCGTGAACTTGAATAAGATGACCACATTATCACTTCTCACCATACGTGAGAGGAACTTCGCTTGACTGACATCATCACAGTGTGTGAAGACTAAGTCAAAGAAATGCGGAGTTTTGTAGGTCATATTTGGTGGGATCTCCAATGTGCTGGAATAAAGCCAAAACAAATGTGATTTCCAACAATTTTCAATCGGGCACTGTTTTTCATGTCCCTACTTCTAAGTTTCCTCGATTTGTAGATGGTGTATCAAAGTGACCAACTATAAAGCTTCTGGACCTGTTCGACCAGGGTCTGAATTTACTTAGGGGGAAGTCATTCACTACTCAATCTGGACAGAGATGTACTAGGCCTACGTTGAATATCTTGCCTTTTTTTATTATCTTAACCTGCTGCGTTCTAGCTTACATGTTCCTGAATTGTATGTCACTGCCTCGACGGCTCGTGTGGTTGAGGTGATTTACGTGTACGTGACAACCCCACCACCTCGACGGATTAGTCTGCCGGCCACATTGAGAAGTAATCGAGTTTCAGCGTAATGCGCTTTTGATGTTAATCATGTTTCTGTGATGATCATGACGTCACGGTACTTTGTACTCACCATGGTTCCGAGCTCCACCATTTTAATGAATAAGCTTCTAGCATGTGTGTAGCATACATAGTTTTACAATGTGAAAACTCTCAAGCATAAGGTCTTATCAATTCGGCGGTGCCCATTTCTTTCTGCTTCTCTTGGTCATCTCAGAGGACCGCTTGGACATGTATTACAGATCCAGTCAGTTTGCTTGAATTTTCCAGTATTAGGTTTATTTCATCAGCAGAAGCAAGAGTGAATTTCAAGGGTCGGCCTTCCTAAATACTTTCGGGACCCACGTTTTGTCCTTTTCTATAAAGCCTATGAGTGTTAACCCCTGCTACTAATCATGGGACCTGCTTGCATGCCAAAGGCTTAACGTGGCCTAGGTCACATTCAAAGTTAGCTTTTTCATGAACCCTTCCCATCTCCTACTCCTATTTGGCAATAGAAGTGGAGGTCTGACTTTTTCTCTGGTCTTCTAGGTGTTATTGTAAGCCACTCATTAACTTTATTGTTTCTTAATCAAATCTTTTGCAACGTCCATGCATTGCTCCTGCATAGTCTGTCTTGCGCTGTTGTGGATATCTGTATACAGTTTTGTATTTGAAACCGTCAACACATTTCTGGAGCTCCTTTCAACTTGTATCTCCTTTGTGTGCTTATTTTTATTCCTCGTATTCATGTGTGTATTTGTCATCCACTACGTCGTGGAGGTTCGAAATGTTGGTTTCGTTCAAATCTATGGATAGACATGATAACATTCGTTGCTACCTCGAGATCTGATAGCTGCCCATCTGCTGTTGGTTGCTTGTCTGAGGGCATCTTTTCAACAGTTTAACAGCTCGATCGCCTCAGAGGTCGGCAGATGCTTTGTAAAGCATTGGGCCATAACCACACAATCCTCAAAGCTGAACACGAGACAGCTGAAAAAATAGATATTCGATATTTAACGCGGAGAAGAACCTAACGATGAAGAAGGCGGGAACAATGAGTTGAATTAATTTGAGTTGATCAGATGGCATGGTCCGGCCTTGCGGGCGTGGTTCCTGCTGAATGTTACCCTATGTCTTTTATTCATATTAAATATATTGTTCTATCTATAGCCTAAGCTTGTTCTCTATCATGTATTGGTGATTGTTGCGATGCAATGAGTTGGTGTAGACGATGATGTTACTTCCACATAAGATCTTATAGATTAGGCATTTATATCATGGAAATGTACAATCTTAGGATTAAGTCTGTTATTAGAGCAGTACTAATATCATAGTAGACCATAATTCTACAGTGCAATCAATGTGAGTCCCGTGCATACTTGGTGATAAAACTTGTTACAATTGTCACGTAGTCTTATATCTCCAAACGTAAGGAAGCTTGAGGGCCTACCACGACGACGTTTTGGTTGTGCCATTGAAATGGTCAAGTAGGTGCTTGAGAGGACCACTTATTGTGTTATTCTTTAATAGCTCCTATTATCAGCACAGTGTTTTCAGCCTTCATTCACTAGCTTGTACATGACATATGTCATACCAACCAGCACTTCCACTTCTTTGAACTAGGTAAAAAGGAACAATTTGTTTGATAAACCAGTCAAGTAAATTTGATATTTAGTAATATCTCTTTATTCCTCTCTGAAAAACATAAACTCTATGAAGAATTTTCAAGATGGGTTATCAGGCGAGTGACTGGTCTTGATTATATATCTTAGTAAGAAAGACTCCAATATTTAGGATCCTCATTCTAAGTAACAGGTTAATGTTCGATCTGACATCATAATATTTTACATAAAGTTCGTCAAGCCACCCTAGCAGGTGCATATAACCGGAACATCATCGACACCGCCATTTTGAGGCAACCCTCGGATGATGGCACGTCAGAGTGCGAACATCCTTTTTTTCTCAAGAGCAGTAGCATCAATTTTGAAGTGCCCTAGCACCCGAAGTGACCACAGCCGATTCAGTTGATAGCTTTAAGAGAATATTTGGATATACGTGCTCATCTACGGATTGAACCCCCCCTTGGACTAGATGTGTCTAATGCGTGTCTTATAAACTGTCACGTTATCATCAATGCATAGTCAACACTACTTAGTATGTTTCATATTATCATCTCCAATTCCCCTATTGTCCTTTCAATTCCGTGTTATTACACATACCAACTAGTTTTTTGTTATTCTCGAATCATTCATACTCTCTTAGCATTTTAATTATTAGTTTATAATCTTGACATTGCACTCAACCAACCTTCTGCCTGTTAATTTAATAGCTGCTAATATTCAGAAACCCTACTCCTCTGGGGATAACTTTACCATCCTCCCATATGATGGCTGCAACTCTGGAAGCATTTTTTGCCAACAAACGTCGTTTGCCAAC